GGCTAGATGGAAGACTTCATGAAGAAAGTGGAATTTTGAAGACATTTAAAAATATATAGGCTTGAACAGTAAAGAAGAAAAGAGAAAGTATTTCCAAAAAAGACAGGATATGTATGAAAGTGAAAATGGGAAAGAACTGCTCAAAAAATAAAGGTAAAGCTGAACTGAAACCATGTGGTTATTTAGGGGAATAAAAAATAAAGCTGGAAAGTTAGAAAGCCAAGATGTCTGAGGATTCAAATACCATAAAAATAAATAAAAAGGTAAAGTCAATTACAATGATGTGGAAGAAAGTTAAAACAGTCTAGGAAAATAAGCGGGTAAATTTGGCTTTACAATGGTTTCATCACAGTCGATGGCAGAAGATTTGAGTAGAAAAGTCCACTGGGCAATGAGATATATAAATTGGGTTTAAGAACAGATGAAATGGCTAGATGTGTAAGTTATAAATACTCCCATCACTGGGATGAGAGTAACAACTGAAAAGTGAAGACAGTAGAGAACTAGAGCCAAACTTAGGCAATACCCATAGTTAGAGGATGAAAGAAAGTGGGAAATAGCAAAGAGAACCAAGCAAAAATGATAAAAGATTATTTGATAATAAATTTCTCCATTAAAGTTACATAGATTCATTTCAGGAGAAATTTTTATCGGCTGTCACCATTTCTTTACACATAGCTTAACACCTTAACCTCATATCAACTTCTATCACTTATTACCTAAGTTAGCATGTCTTCAGTGTTATGAAAAGAATACACTGCCATTTATATTTAAATTTACAAAATGTATCCTACAGAATAAAACTTAGGCATGATTACCTTCTAAACAAAGTTGAATAAAATTTCTGCAAGCTTTAGGTGCTTCTTTTGACCACAACTCTATGTCAATATCTCCAGCTGTCGTTTTCAATAAAACCTGTAGAAAAAATATTACATCATTATATTAAGGTATCATTCTGATATATATTCAGGGGAAGTGCTTGAAGCATCCTCTAATGAGTTTTCAATTTTAAAATAAAAATTAGAAACTTCTCTTGGCTTTTGTTGTATACTCAAAAATTTTCAAATATTCACCACATTTGTATATTCATATTTTTCAAATAACATTTTCAAAACTAATTTAGAAAAATAAGAAAAATAGCATATGCCTTTTTCATCAAAAAACCTCATTCACTTAAAAAAATCAATAATTTAACTTGTTTTAATTAAGAAAGTTTCCCACTATATTACATTCAATAAATTTGTAACAAATTAAGAAACTAAAGAACAATAAACCCATGAAATTTTGAAACTACAGGACAATTTTACAATTACCTTTTTATATATACTTTCTCATTTAAAAATCATGATCTTTCTCATTTATAAAGCAACATTCTTAAATCTAATTCTTTGTTGTCTCCTTACTAAAGCGGTATATTCTAAACTACGTATAATAAATGGAATCTTTTGATTCTCTTTCTACCAGCTCATGAAGATGATTCTCCTTCCACCAGCTCATGAAGATAGAACCTATCATATTAAAACAACCAAAACCCTAATGAATCCAAAGTAAAAAACATCATTTTAATTGTCTTATTAAAAACCACAAATAACCAAAAAAGAATGTTAGACTCTAAATTTGAACTCTGTAGCACAGGTTGGGTCCAGCTTCTCCAGTATCACATTTTCTCATCCAGTAAGCCAAAGTGGATCAATGCTAAAAAATGATCAATGGTCAGTGATTACAGTCATGTAAAATGTTCTCACAAATAAAGAGTATGCAGTATGATTTTTTTTTTAAAAAAAAAAAGACTGATTCTTACTTGAAGTCTGTATCTAAATCACACTCCCCATTTCCTTCAACTCTTCTCCACTGGCTACCACTAATCTACTTTCTGTCTCTATACATTTGCCAAAATTCCTTTATCTAATTTACATAAATTTTTGAAATTGGAATGAAGTTTAAAAATCATTCAAGTAAGCACCCATCTTATAGAGAGGCCTCATGGAAGTAAATTTTCCCATGTCAGAGAGCTACTTAATGGCAAAGCAGGAATAGCAACAATCCTCTGCTTCCTCCACATCCAGAGCACTTTTGTTACAACTGCCTTTCAATTTCTCTTTCAAAAACCCAAATTATATAGGCAAAATTTAATATAACATTGATGAATTTTGGGCTTTTTACTGGCTACTTAGTTCTCTTTTTCAGTGAGCATGGAGGCAGAGGAGGTGAAAATATCTTTACTGTGGTAACATTGAAAATAGTTTCCTCCTATTAAAAATAAATAAATCTCATAAAATGGTTTCCTTTACCTTTACAGAAATATAAAGGTACTAGATATGTAAATACGCATAATTTTCTATATTCATTACACTTCCTTTACAGAAAGAAGGGAACATGTGTTGAGTGCCTTCCACTGTTTCTGTGCCAGACATTTTATATATGTCATTTAATCCTCATGTATAAGGAGTTATCATTACTCCCATTCAATTATAAAGAATGAGACTTAGATAAAGTAACTTTATCTACGGTAATGCAATGAACAAATTAGGCTAATGGCTGACTGGCTGCAAAGTCAATGCTTTGTCTATACACTCTACTGCTGACACAAAGTTCTCCATAAGTTTCACACTATTCTAGAAAAATAGTTCATCAGCTTGAGGGCCCTGCCACGGGTCTTAAAAGTAATTCCCAGGTTACCACAGTCATAGATGATTTGAAAGAAAACAGTATCTAAGTCAAAGGCAATCAATCACATATTGGCTACACTTGAAAAAGGTCTTCCAACTTGGCTTGGCTTGAAACAAAACCCTCAGGAGATACCCCATATTGGATGGTGATAAATTGGATTCTCACTCTCCTGAGAGATAAATATTTAGGATGCAAATAATTATGGGTTGAGTAACTCCTTCCACCTCTAATTATATCTAAAACAACACTCTGTAGCATCTTCTGATTTGCCATGAGGGGAGATAATGCTTCCCAATCCTAATAATACAATGTAGCTAAAAAGACAGTAGCCTGTCCTAATTAATCACCTGTCTACCTGAAATAAAGCACTGTTGTTAAAGGAAACCTTACAACTCCAAGGCAATTATCTCTAAACAGTTTTAAGTCTCTATCCCATTAAGCAAATGAGAAAAAAAGGGAGGGCAGGAAGGAAGCTAAGGGCTTAGAGAACACACATGCAAAATTTGTATATTTAAATACATGTAGTACTGAACTACTTTCATGTCCTCTCCAGCACATAACTTTGAAGCTTCAGTGTCTTCAATCAGTCTTATGTTGGAAAAAAATCTCAAATTGTTTTTGAAGGAAAACTTGAACCAAGCCTGATGTTCTCCCTCAGCCCAAGTATGTTTAGATGAAAGACAGTATTCATCACAATTTGCATACACTTATCTACGTGATTATTTGATCAGTGTATTTCACTCAAATAAAATAGGGACAATGCTGACTTTTCTTTCCATTGTACCCTTAAAACCTAGCAGACATCCTGGAATGTGATACCTGCTCAGTAAGTAAGTATGTGTTAAATGATAGATTTGCTGTTCAGTCAGGTTTCTTTCTTACAGTTTTAATATTTATATTTTCAAACTACCCTCATTATATTACCGATATCAATCAACAAGGGATTGCATACTTTGTGAAAGGGTTATGCAACAGAATTGTATCTGATGTAAATTTAGTTAATCCTATTTCAACAATACAATTTCAGTCCCACTGTTTTCTTTATTATGCTGATTCATCATGTTTTATATGTGAACGAAACTAGGTCTCAGTTCAAGAACAAAGGTGCTACCTAGTCCACTACTGATTCCTCTATCTCATCCTGCATATAAACACCTTGGACAGGAATTGACATACCCAACCATCAATCAGGTAGTCACTCTCCATTCTAAAGTGGCAACATTTCCCACTCCCCACTTTTTCACAATCATCTCATGTTTTAAGACCAGCTGAAAGCTAACTCCTTTGTGAAGCTTCATCCTACTTTTCCCCAGTTATTAACGTCTCAGTACAACCACAGTAATACACACCTTTCTTCAAAAGGGCGCCTACCAGACCTGAAGTTTTTCTTTACCTGCCTTTCTCCTAAACTAAACCACAAATTCTTCCAGAGAAATTACTGGCCTTACCCATCCATCTTTGTATCTCCAATGCCTAGTATTGTCCACTACCTAGCAGGCATTCAGTAAATGATTGTAAAAAGGAGGAAGAGGGATCTCCAAGTTAAGCAAAAAATGTTAAACTTTTAAATGTACTTAGGTTTGTTTGTTTGTTTGTTTGTTTCTACCCTAAGAACCTAGAAAACGCCTACATAAGTTAGGCTGAGTCAGGAAACAGGACCAGAAGGCCAACAGATGGAGAAATCTTCACTCGATTACTTTTTCAAGTACACGCTGAGAAGTGTCAATAGTTTTCGATGCCATCCTGTTCAGAGGCAGGAGCAAGGATAGGACTTGTTGGGATCTCTTCCAATGCCAAGATCAGTGAATTCGGGCAGGCCTCAGTTTGGGGAGCCCAGATACCCTAATGAAGGTTCTCACCTTCCCGTTGGTGGGAGGCTCCTGGATGTAGATGTTGCTCATGCTGGTCAGTGCTCAGAACTCAGCTCCTACCTAGGGGTGAGACCGGAAGCCCGATCACTAAAGCTGCCCACCTATCCGTATACGCTTCCTTGTGGCGGGTCGCAGAAATCTCCACTCCGTCACTATCCCGCAAGACAGCGACACCAATTACTACTTTTCCCAAAGCGAGCCCCTCACGAACGCTTCCATGTTGGTCCGGACCCGAGCACCGCTAAACCTACAAAGGGGGGTTCCAATGCTCCTCCAAGAAAAAAGAAAAGGTTGTTAAACGCCTATAGATTAATTTAATATGAATTAAAATGGTTAAAAGAACAACCAGTAGGTACGGGTGTTGTATATTTCATGGCACGAGCGTGCCACTCTCCCTCATCCCCCGAGGCTTCACAGTAATGGTTCAAGCCGTGTGTGACTGCAATAAGCCTCCTCCGGAAACTGCACCGCCGGCTACTTGGTTCCGCAGTCGCCAGAGACTTACGGGGCCTTCTACTGTCACCAAGAGCCCGCGGCGCAGGTGAGAGGAAGAGGCCGCTCTCGCAGTGCGGGGTCCTCGCTGCCGGCGGGAAGCAAGTGCGCTCTCAAAAGCTTAGGGCTCCGGCGACCCCTCTTACCAGCGCCATGGCAGTCCCAGGTGAAGACTCAACGGCTGGGTGCCTACGTCCGGGAGAAAACGCGAGAGGCGGCTTGGGGAGTCCGGGCGCGCCGGGGTGGGAAGGCGCGTCTGTGGGGATTTAGGCGGCGGCGTTGAAATTCATACTCTTGTTTGGTTTACATGAAAAAAGTTTAAGCTTGAAAAATAAACTCTGGGGGAAAGAAAGGAACTATCGCGCCCGCCCTGGCTAAGCCTGAGCGGCACTCGTTGGCATTTCAGGGAAAGTGTGTCTTTTCTTGGGCGGTGAAAGGAGAGCGACATTAACTGTAGGCCTAGGGCGGGTGCCAAGAAAAATTGAGCTTAACTTTGATAAGGCTTAAAAATGAAATTTGCAGTGGGAACACTTGACCGGCCCGAGGAGCCATAGGCATTGTTCAGAGAGGAAGTCGCGGGTACGAAATGGGCGCTTGGGATTCTGTTTCTCGCTCTTGCTGTTGTGTGTAGTTGCTGTGCAGCCTGGGACCCGTCGCTTCGCCCTTCTGGGCCCCAGTTTCTGCATCTGTGAAAGAATGAGCTTCGCTGATTTATGTCGATCGTTCCTGCCAGCTCGCAAATTCTGTGTCCAAAGGGTACCAACCTAAAAAGTCACCCTCGCGAAATTAAGTGCTTCATAGATTTCCCCTCTACGATCACCAGTTTCTGTGGACGTTCTGGTGTAGAAGGCATCTCCTTAAAACCAGGCTTGCCACCAAGTGTTCTGCACAATACTGGTTACAGGAGATAGTTTGAGAAATACACGCACACACACACACTCACATGCCCACAACTGGGAGATTTCACAGTGCACTTATGTGTAGCAAAGATTGACATGTGCCATGGTTCAGAAATCATTACTTTGCTTTAACCTGTCCTTCCAGTATTACTTGACCACATTTGTTCTGTGGCAGCCGTTTCTGAACTTCGGAATCATATTTTACAGGTAACTGTTATGGGAAAGTTGTGCTTTTCTACCCGCTGCAGTTTGGGAAGGAACACAAATGGAATTGTGAGAGAGAAAAGATACACTTGTTCATATGCATAACTTTATTAGGTATCCATTGTGTCCCTGTTGGGAATACAGTGGTGAGCAAGACACTAGCTCATCACACAGAACTTACAGTTCAGCAGTGAAGAGAAAGTATCAGAAAATCAAGCAAGTGTTTAACAGGGAAAACAAAGCCTTCAGGAGTACATCATCAGGGCACCTAACAGGAAACAGGAAAGGCTTTCCAGAGGGTGTCTCATTTAGGATGAAACCTGAAGGACTGAAGCAAATTGGGGTGGTAGAAGGTTGAGTTCTGGTGATAGGGATTGAATAAAGGAAGAGGGAGTGACCTATGTGTGCCATGGATGAAACTCAGTACAAATGGAAGAAAAGAAAGAAATTAACAAAAGAGATAATAGTAGCTAATCTTTTACTAAGCATTTACTATGTGTCAGCCACTGTATCAAACATTGTATTTTATTTTGTGCTGCCTACACTGAAGTAGGCATTAATATTTCCATCTTGCAAGAGAGGATACTGAAGGACAGAGAAATCAAGTGGTTTGCTTATTATGTGACAGCTAGTAAGAACAGATCAGTTTAACTCCTTTAGACCATGTAGTTATACATTTTGTCATGTTATGGTATAATTTACAAGGTAGTTTTCTTACCTTCAGGAACCTCTTACGGGACCTCATAAATCACAGCAAAAAGTTTGGATGTTTTCCTAAGACAATAGGAAGCCATTTAAGGGTTTTTCAACAGATTTGGAAAAGCATGTTTTTGGAAAGCATGTTCTGGCTACATAGTAGGTTGGAGGGGAGCTGGTTTGGAGGCAGAGTCACCAGTTAGGAGAAATTCTGGTGAGTTCTGAAGATGCCATAGGTGTGGTCTCAGTAGGAAAGTAGAAAAGTAGATAGACTGAAGATATATTTTTAGTGGTAAAATCACTAGGAATCAGTGATTGATTCAGTGTGCTAGGGTAATAGAGGAAATGAAGTATTCCTGGCTTTCACTATTAGATAATATCGGAAAAGAAACCTTTTCTAGGGGGATGATGGCTATACTTTGGGGCATATGTTGAGGTGTAGTCAGATATAAAATTGTAAAACTATCTGGTAGACAGAGATAAAATTTGTAGCTCAGAAAAGAAGACAAAGCCAAAGACAATAATTTGGATGTCACCCACATATGTCATAGTTAACATTATAGGAATTAAGGCCATGGGAGTGGATGACTTTGCTTAAGTGGAGTATGTAGAATGTGATTGCCTGTAGTTGAAGCCTGAGTTAATATCAGCATGTAAGGGGTAGGCAGACTGAATGGTCAGTCTGCATAGAAGATTGCCTAGGCATCCTAGTTGGTGAAATCTGCTCTGGTGATGCAACATAGTTGCATCCAAAGTTGACTTGTTATCACTCTTGATTTTCTTACTTGAGCAAACATTTGACATGTTACAGACACTCTGAGGCACACAGTGTCACAGTCTGTGCCTTCTTCATAAAACCTCAGTGTGGTAATGAAAGAGAATAAAAGTGAGAAAATGACCTGCTTAAGAAAGACAATAAGAGTGATTTTTAAGCCCCTTCGGAAATTCCCTTAAACCTCTGGCAGTGTTACTGATATTAACCTTCTTCCAATTCAAAATAATGCTTGAAAGTGTAGTGATATTAAATTGCGCCATTAAACTCGATGGCAAGACATAAACTTTAAACCCAACCAAAATCGAGGTAATAGGCATGACAGCACTATTAAAATACAATGCAAGCTTTCTTAGAAAATATAGATACAGAAAATGTTAAGGTAATTTCTTAGATAATTGATTCAGAGCATTAAAGGAAAATAGCTCCAGCAGAAACCTTTTCAGATAATCATCAAGGACTAGTATTATGTTATGCTCTTATCATTTTAGGTGTAATGTGTGTATGGATTCAGCATTGCTTTTCTTGGAAGGTCCAAGTTACATCGCAAGGTATAATTATGAAGAAAGGAGGCTGTTTTCTACAAATGAAAATCAGCCCAGTCTATTTAATAGTCACCTACTTCAGCTATTTTTACATACATTGTGTGAAGCTTACACCATTATATAATACAATGAAATGAATACTCTTATGGAACTCATCGACTCTTAGTTGTTATTTTTTTTAAAGATTTATTTATTTATACAAGAACCTGGGTACAGGCCAGATGTGTGGGAGGGTGAGAGGATTCACCAGAGACAGAGCGGGGAACAGAACAGGCAGACTGACGAAATACATTGCTGAGGGGAGCCGCGGGCAAGACAGGAGAGGTCTGCTGCGCCATGTGGGATTCTCACTGGCCAGCCGGGATTGAACCCACGCTGCAGAGGCTGCGGACAGCTTCACAGTGCGGGGCTCAAGCACTTGCGCCACCAGGGAGGCCCGACTCTTAGTTGTTATTAAAGAAATAACATTTGAACACAAATTTCAGTGAAGTTTACATTCTTTTAAAAACTGCTTTTCCCATTCGCAGTTGTTGAAAGTAGTGGTTGGCACAAAAATTTATTTTTTTCCTCTTGTATAGTGAAATTTATATAGGCAAGATAGGGAATTTTTTATAGCCAAATTGACATTACATCTGGCATATCAAAGTGAATCAAATTCTCAAACTACATTACTATAGCATCTTAGTAATAGAAGAGTTCTAAATTATACTACATCCAATTTCTCTTCACTCCTAAACTGTACTAGATATAATTTCTTTTCTCTCTAGTCTGTGTTGCACTCATCAAAGAAAGGGCCTTATAATATGGGTTTTTTGATTTATTCAGTTTGACTTGGAATTCCGGTACCATTATATCAGCAAGTTCATGTTCCAAACAACAGAACCTGATTAATTAACTTACATAGAAAAGGAAGGATATCAGGGAACTTACAGAATGTAAATAAAGACTAATGAAGCCCAGAAAATAGACAAGACCAAGGGAACCCATAACCAAGAGTCTGCCTTAGGGCCAACCTTTTCTGAGCTCTGCTGCCAGTGATACCACTGCTGCTGGATACTGACAACAGAATTAATTGTTCCCACTTCATTATGTCACTTTTTTCTGATCTGTTGTGTCAGCTGCATCATTTAAACTGTCAAGTAAAAAGTCTTCATGAACATTATAAACAAATGAAGCTAAAATATTAATTTAACCAGTCTGGAAAGGAAATAGTTGATATAAATTTACTTTACTTAGACTTATTTCCCTTTCATGTAAAAATTAAAACTTTGTTAGAGAAAATGACCTATTTGGAAAAAGCTTCATATTTTATTCATTCTGAAAATATGAGATACTTAAATGATGAGTTTTATTACTGTCTTTGGTCACAAAGATACATTTCTAATACATGCTAGGATGAGATTATTTCTAATCTGTTCATTAAAAACTTTCAGTTTGTTATAGGAGCAATAATAGTGCATTCGACACAGTTTTATTTAGTATTATTCATTGTATTTCTATGGAAACAGATTTAATTTAGACCCATATTCTCTGAGCTTTTTCTTCAACATGCAGTTATTTCATAATGAAAGAGCCTGAGATCTTATTATTAAAAGTTTCATTTCAAAGTTCTGCTACTGTACATCATTTGAGTCCCTATACTGTATCAAAATGTTTATTGAAAAAAATGAGATTGGGACACAACACTCAAAAACTTACCTAGTGACAAAAAAATGATATGAACTTGATTAAGGCAGTAGCACACTTTTAAAGGTGTTGATTGATTAGAAGACACAAATGCTACGATGTACACAGCACTATCCATTACAAGACCTGAAGTTTGCTGTCAGAGTGGACTTTAAAAGAGTTGTTGCTTGTGAGCTGTTATGAAGTAATAGTAGAAAGGTGATGGTGTGAAATCAGATGGAAAGTTTGAACACCCAAAGTTTGATGGGTTATTGGAAATGTTTTAAAGTTGGGGCTGGAGGATGGTGGAGAGTTGGGGGAGGGGACAGATGGTGGAGTGAGTATATTCCTGAGATTAAGTACAACTGGATGTAGTTTTTTGACTTCTCCTAATAATTTTCTAGAACAAAAGTCATGTTATGTTCAAATTGTTGTCTCTTACATCAGTTGCTCTGAGAAATTAATGTTTGTTAGTTAAGTTGCCTGTGAAGTCTTGGTGTGGCACATGTTGCCCCAATACCACCTCACTTCATGGGCTTCACTTCCCACTTTTTGATACCTTGCTCGGTGGCTACCCCCGGTACAGTTTTGGCAGGCCCCTGTGCAGTGAGCACCATAGTGGCTGCCCTTTCAGAGAGCACAGCTGACAGACTGGTGGTATGCATGCTGCATCATTGGTGCCAGTGTGCAAAGTACAGGAGCCCAAAAGATGTGGCTCCTCCTGGGTTTCAAAGAATGAAGCCATGGAGGTGGCACTACTGCAAAAGAGCAGTGGTATTCTTCCTGCAGAGCAGCAGGAGTGACTTTTCCACCCCAGTGAGGCTAAAAGGCAAAATAATGAACTTAGGAGAATTATTCTTAAAAATGTAATGTTATTTGCCCCATTCAGATCTCTACTATCACTTTCTTCTTTCCTGTTTCTCCTTTTTGGAATGGGAATGCATTAGGCTGTGACTTCATAATAAAATAACAGAAACACTGAGAAAATTTCATTTTTATTAACATTCAAAAGATGAAATTGAAGGTAAAGTAACTTAAATTGGAAAAGGTTATTTCAAAATTGCTGAGAGTTTGCTAATGGAGTGAGTGTGAATAAAAAATTCTGGTACCAATTCACTAACTTTTACACCATCATTGTACTTTTTAATGATTTTACATCATTGTGTGTTATAATTAGTTTCAATTTAATTGAAAATTTTTTTTCACAGCCTCTTTAGGACCCCATGGGTATAGTTTAGCACAGTATTTTTATGCAATTCAACAACCACTTGTATGATAGGATACACAAAAACTAAAACACTGAACCATTTTGACAGAAGATCAAACATTATCAAAATTTATAACTATGCAGTGATTGGCTTATATGTTAACAGTATTTCAAATGCCCCACCCATATGGTCTAGTTGGCAGCAATTTTAATGTGAATATTAAGATGTAAAGTGATTTATATTTTAAAGAAAGGACTCATTGTAAAGTGATTTAATCATATAGTGGACTGGTTGTAAAGAGGGAGTCTACTATACTTGCCTTGCTTGGTTTCCAGAGGTCATAGCTGGAGAGAAATTTGCCCATGTAATTTCTACCTTGACTCTCATCCATAGCTGACTTTGATGGGATTTAAATGTGATTTTGGAATTATACTTAAGAGTTGATACAGAAACAAGTTAAGACTTTGGGGACCATTGTATTGGAATGAATGTATGTTGCATGTGAGAAGTATTTGAATTTTGTGCGGTGGAGGCAGGAGAGGAGGGCTATATATAGAATTTGGCTTCCCAAAATTCGTATTGAACTCTAACCCCAATATGATGGTACTGGGAGGTAATGGGATTTAAGGGTCAAGCCTCTTAAATTGGATTAGTGTCCTATATAAGAGCTCTCAAAGCTCTCCCTTAATCCTTTCTGATACAGAAAGAAGAAGATGACCATCTATGAACCCAGAAGTGAGTTCTTACCAGACACTGAGTCAGCTGGTTCCTTGATTTTAGACTTCCAGCTTCAAGAATTTTAAATTTTAAATGTTATTTTCAAGAAGGAAATTTACCAACAAATTTTTTTTTTAGCTTTTTCATGTGCCAATTTTTTTTTTTTTATGTTTTTACTCTTATATATGTCTCCTAAAATTGTACCCAATTGTATTTCAGGTTGCAACAAGGACAGTGTTCGAGCAGGCTGTAAAAAATGTGGCTACCGTAAGTGCATATAAAAAGTAATGTTTTATTTAGTGAAATTTTATTTACCTCTTTGAAGATTCCAAAGATGTCATAATATGTAAGTAGTGTACTTGAGTTAGGAGTTTGGAGAAAATGTATTCCAAAAACCGAGTATATATATATATTTATTCTTTTATTACTTATCCTTCTAGATACTAAGTGAAGAAAGGAAAACAATGCAAGCTATTTATGAAAGTTTTCCTTTTTATTGAGTTTACTCTCTTTTTTTAAAGATTTATTCATTTCTGCATACAAGAACTGGGGTACAGGCCAGAGGTATGGGGGGTGAGCGGATTCACCAGAGACAGAGTGGGAAACAGAACAGGCAGATTGACTGAAATACACTGCTGAGGGGAGCAGTGGGATAGCCAGGAGAGGTCTGCTGCGCCATGTCTGTAGCTTCCTGGCCGGGGATTGAACTTGTGCTGCAGTGGCTTTCTTCATAGGTTGTGTCTTTTTTTTTTTTTTTTTTTAAAGATTTATTTATTTATTTATTTATACAAGCACTGGGTACAGTCAGAAGCGCGGGAGGGTGAGAGAATTCACCAGAGCCAGAGCAGGGAGCAGAACAGGCAGAAGGACCAAAGTACACTGCTGAGGGGAGCAGTGGGCGGCAGGAGAGGTCTGCATGTCATGTGGGACCCTCCTCCGATAGCCGGGGATCGAACAGGCGCTGCAGAGACTGCAGGCAGCTTTGCAACCCAGCACTCAACTGCTGCGCCACCGGGGAAGCTCCATAGGTTGTGTCTTAACCCCTTGCACCACCAGGAAGTTTACTCTTTATAAAGGTGTTAATTGGTCCCAGAATTTCTGCTCACTAATAAAAATTTTATCTAAACCTCATCTCCAATATTAATAGGTTGGAATGGAAAGTAAACTTTTAAGTATGTGTAATTACATAGTCAAAATTTGTAATTATGTACTATAAACCAGTGTTACCGTCTAACTGAATGTAACACTGATAACAGCAGCATTCCCTGTTTGCCGAGTTGTGTGGGGATCATGCAAATGAGCCGGGATTGGTTTTAATACTCCAGTCATGGAAAAGTTACTTTTAGCAAAATAAAAGTTGATTTTAAAAAATATTCTTGAAAAAACATGTGATAAATGAGTACTCAAGAAATAAATCTCCATTGGAAGAGCTCACAGTAAAAGTGTGCAAGGAAAACCAGGTCACATGCCACCAAACAAGGACTGAGCTGGCTTAAGTGAAGGTTGCTCATTTGTGAGTTTGCAAATATGAGTGCATGAAGATCCATAACCCTTACGTAAATGAAAACTGAAGAATGTACTTGCATGCAATAACTGAGTTCAATGAAATCTTGTTTTTAAAATAAATTAATATTTACTTCTACTTTAATTTGTTTTAACTCTTGATAATTTCCATATTTCCTTGCTTTCTTCAACAGATAAAAACTTCTACGTAGATAAATGCTGTATTTACCTCAAACATTAGAATGGATTTCCCAGTCTGTCTAGAAATACCATTTTATCTACTTGACTTAGGACTTCAAGGAAAGCAATTTAATTTATTTTCTGGAAATAGAATATCTAATATCATTGCTATTTTATTTGAGACAATAATGGAAGCATAATTAGTAAATAGAATTTTTAAGAGAAAATAAGTAAGCAAATAGTTTTTAAAATCTTTATAAGTTTAGTTCCTTCTTTATTATTCAGATCTCTGATTTTGGTGATTAAGTGATTAAGCAGTTTATAATTTGTCTCCTGTGGAAAACTTTAGTAATATTTCCCTTTGTGTTAAGTATACATCTCCACATCTGTTAGAGCTGAATGTCTTCTCAATTTACTTGTCTTTCTGATAGGAACTACATTTTTAAAATTATCTGTTATTTGGCAGCCAGGATATTTATTATACTCCTTGCAGAAATAAGAGAAGGGTTGACAAAACTCTTTGAAGTGCTTTTAATGCCTAAAACTATGAGTATTCATCAGTAAGTTACAAAAGGGTATTGTCTCTTTTGTTATTAAAATAATAGTTTAGATTGTCTGGCTTTTAAAAATTTTAATATTTGATAGAAAAATATTTTATTGTCAGTATGTTTTAATAGTGGATATATTGTTTGTAAAAGTTTAAAGTTCAGGATGAATGTGTTACTAAATAACATGGATCTCACTTTTTAATGGCAGTTTCCACAGCAAAATCAATTTATAAAAATGAGTAGTTATTTTTTTTTCAGGATCATTTTGAGCTCTTGATTACAACCCGAAAAATTTCTTGTCTCTAATCAAATCAGAGATCATAGTTCATTTTTAATTTTTTTCCGTGACCATCATCCCTCTTCTCCCACTCACCTTCTTCTTCAGAAACCTCCCTTCATTTATGAATATCCACTAGCTTATAATTACTTTTCCCTGTCAGTTCATCCCCTATGATTCCTTGTTTTACTCACATATTTGAAAACATCCAATATTTATCTATCTTTCTGAATTACTGTACATAATTCCCTGGGGCTCCCTCCATTTTTGCTATAAATGGTAACATTTCATCTTTCCTTGTTAGTATTCCGTTGTGTGAAAGTACGACATCTTTATCCAGTCCTCTAACAGCAGGTCCTTATGTTCTTCCAAGCCCTAGTTATTGTAAATAATGCTGCAATAAGCATTGTGTAGCATTTAATTTTTTTTGAGTTGATTTCATGTTCTTTGGATAAATACCCAAAAGTGGGATTACTGGATCATTGGAGAGCAATTTTAATATCAAACTTTTAAAGCAAGAGCAGTTTAGCGATTAAGAGGGATTCAAGATTAGCCAACCAAAAAATAAAATAATAATGATCTTGAGATGTATTATTAATCTCAAAATCTATACAGCAAAATCTGCATTGCAAGGAGAAATTGATAAATCTACAATAACAGAAGTACTTAAAAATTATAATATCAGTAGTTATTAGAAAAAAGAAATAAGAGATTTAGATAACCAAAGACAGAACTGTTACTGGGCAACTCCAGTGTGAAATGGGTTGGCCTGACTGTGGGTCCACACACACACACTTAATGGGACCTATAATGAGAGTCAACTGCAGGCACACACAAAAAGGTTAATAAAGGGTTTATTTACAAAAGAAGGGGAAATGAAGAAATGAGTAACTCAGGGAAAAAGAGCGAGAGAGAAATTAGTGAATATATCCTACCAGTTCTGCTGAGCTGGAACCCCAATAGCCTGCTGAAAGCCAGTGAAAAACCAAGGACTCCTCAAGGCCCACATGTCTGGTTATATACCAAGCCTGGCTGCTTCACCCCACCCTCAGTTCCCAGCAACCCTTTGTGGGACCAGGGTGGGCACTGAGCAGGTTTTCTGATACCGCAGACAGGTAAAGGAGAGTCTTGTATTCCCCGGTGGCTTTCTCAGGCCTTTATCGAGCTTTACATGCATTGCAGCAACCAGGCACATGGTAGGCAGGGGCACTTGGGGGCCAGGAAGCCCACAGGCCTCTAAGCCCCAGGCAAGTCTTCACTCTGGGCTTCTCAGGCCTTCTTTCTCCCCTTCTCTCTCCTGCCTATTCTCCTGCTTCTGTTCTCTTGGCGATTGTCTCAATACCCCTCCCATGGCTCACAGAAGTAAACAAGTCAGTTTGCAACAATGTAACAATTGCTGGTGCCCCATCAGGCAGGACAAGCCTAATGGTGGAAGGGCAGAAAAGCCTGAAAACCATTTACCAAACCATTTACCCCACACCTCCCTTTGGTGGTGATGATATGGGATTTGTAGTCCTTGGTGCCTTGGATCTCTTTGGTTTAGGGTGGGGGTGGGATCTGTAAAACCTGTTTGTGGAGTTTGTTCACACATCCTTTCCCCCAATAATTCCCCCCTTTCACTTTTGGTCACCATTTCTATGGTGATGAAGGTCAAAGGTGTGGATGCTGGGCTACACCCTCAGATGACAGTTATTTTTGATGCCCCTCTCCCTGTCCTATAATAGAACCCTAGTCTATAAATAATCATAGGTACTCTTTTAAAATACATACCAAATATTTTCTTAAATTTATTACAAGATAGACCACAAAAGAAATATCAGCAAATACCAGAAAGCTAATAATTATAAAGACCCCATTCTTGGATAATAGTATAGTAACTTTAGGAAACAATAACAAAAGCTCAGTCCAGAAACTCCATATGCTTGGAAACTAAAAAGAACACTCCTAAATGAATCATTTGGAAGGAGATCACAACAGAGGAAATTTGTTTCCAGGAGTGTGGCAGACTGGCCCCTCCGGTGAACAACTAAGAAACATAAAACGTACAATAAATGTATTATAGACATTCATATGCTAGGGGAAAAAATAAAGGATTAAAGAATACTTAGAGAACAAAAACCAAAGGAAAGTGATCAAATTCTAAGAGGGTATTTACTGAACCCAGGGTTATTTAATTTCTATTTTTGTAGGTTTGCAGGCTATAGGGATGAAAGTCGGGCCCAGGGCCCTGTCCAAGGCAGAGACCTTTGTAAAATTCTAAAACTCCAAAAGACTTCACCCTCAAAATAAAAAAGAGCCAGAAATACACCCTAGTATAAAGAGTTGTGAATCATTAACGGTATCATTATGATAATCATTTTATGCAGTGGAATCATTGTGATATCTCATTGATGCAGACACCTTCAGCATTGGTTTTCTTGAATACCAAGTATAGTGAACTTGTAATTTTTGTCTCAATTATTGTGTTAGTGTGTATTTGCCTATGAATGTGTATCTGAGAACACTGGGCTATATAATTTTTTACCATTGGTGAGTCATAGTCAAAAAATTTGAAAGCTGCTGTCCTAGAGAAATGCTAATAAATGTGCACAAATAGACATTAACAGCTATTCATTTCAGCACTATTAATAACAAGATATTAGAAGCAACCTAAGATTCTATCAGTGGTAGAAAGGATAAATATTATTTTTACACAAACTTTTTTCATCAGAGAAAACGAGATAATTACATCTACTTGTACTTATATTAGCATTTTTATA